TTTACATGTCAGTAAACAGATAAACAGCTGTTTGTTTGTTTACATGTCAGTAAACAGATAAACAGCTGTTTGTTTGTTTACATGTCAGTAAACAGATAAACAGCTGTTTGTTTGTTTGTTTACATGTCAGTAAACAGATAAACAGCTGTTTGTTTACATGTCAGTAAACAGATAAACAACTGTTTGTTTACATGTCAAACAGATAAACAACTGTTTGTTTGTTTACATGTCAGTAAACAGATAAACAACTGTTTGTTTACATGTCAGTAAACAGATAAACAACTGTTTGTTTACATGTCAGTAAACAGATAAACAGCTGTTTGTTTACATGTCAGTAAACAGATAAACAGCTGTTTGTTTGTTTGTTTAAATGTCAGTAAACAGATAAACAGCTGATTGTTTGTTTACATGTCAGTAAACAGAAACAGCTGTTTGTTTACATGTCAGTAAACAGATAAACAGCTGTTTGTTTACATGTCTTACCGTTGTTCAGGTTGAACAGGAAGCTGCACATGTATTTATCGTAGACCTTTCCTCTGCGGTCCGCCTCATCCTGAGAGATGATCTGAACACAAACAGAAAGATATAAATATGATCACAGCTCCTCTGGACCATCAGAACCAGGTCCAGGTCCAGGTGCAGGTCCAGGTCCAGGTCTCTCACCTCTCCACAGTACTCAGAGATGAACTCGTTCTTCTGGACTGGCTCCTTGATGAAGATGCCCCACCCCGCCACGTCGGACGGCGCCAGCAGCAGGTGCTGAAACAAACAAAAACAAAAYCTGGTCAGAACCGGCCCAGAGTCCAGAACCGGGTCGGTCCTGCTGTGGGTCTTTACCTTCTTGGCGCCCCTCTGGATGGAGCAGTTCTTGCAGGACACGTTCTTGCTGTCCCAGTGGTCGGCGGCGCCGCAGGTCAGGCACAGGTCCGGGTCACACTCCCTCACAGCCAGGTAGCAGGGGCACTGCTTGGTGTTGCACTGGGCTTTGCACCGGCAACCTGGGAAGCGGTTCTGACCTGAACCCACACAGAAAACAAAAGTGTTTCCTGTCAGGACGGCAGCAGAACTCTGACCCGGTGGGTCTGSTGGGCCCGGTTCTGTTCTTACACTCAGAGCTGCACTGGCAGAACTTCTCACAGAAGTTCTGCGCGGTGACGCAAGGACAGGACGAGTCGCAAGGCTGCCGGGGGTGGTCACACGGCTGGTAGTTGTACACGTGATTGGACGATCCGTCTGGAGGGACAGGAGGTCAGAGGTCAGGTAGGCTTAAACACGATGAGGCTTTTATTTTGAAAAGATCAGGTAGAGTTAAACACAATGAGGGTTTTATTTTGAAAAGATCCGGTAGGGTTAAACACAATGAGGCTTTTATTTTGAAAGGGTTCAAGTGGAAACTATTGTCTAAAACAAATAATCCTGGTTAGCATTAGCATTAGCTCATGCCTGTTTTATTAGAGGGTTTTCAGCTGCAGGACTCAAAGGTGAGTCTAGACTCTGGACAGGTGGACACTGTGGACAGGTGGACACTGTGGACGGGGACACTGTGGACAGGTGGACACTGTGGACAGGTGGAAACTGTGGACAGGTGGACAGTTGGAAACTGTGGACAGGTGGACACTGTGGACAGGTGGAAACTGTGGACAGGTGGACAGTTGGAAACTGTGGACAGGTGGACACTGTGGACGGGGACACTGGACGGGAACACTGTGGACAGGTGGACACTGTGGACGGGGACACTGGACGGGAACACTGTGGACAGGTGGACACTGGACAGGTGGACACTGTGGACAGGTGGACACTGTGGACAGGTGGAAACTGTGGACAGGTGGACAGTTGGAAACTGTGGACAGGTGGACACTGTGGACAGGTGGACACTGTGGACAGGTGGAAACTGTGGACAGGTGGACAGTTGGAAACTGTGGACAGGTGGACACTGTGGACAGGTGGACACTGTGGACAGGTGGAAACTGTGGACAGGTGGACAGTTGGAAACTGTGGACAGGTGGACA